TATGTATGTATGTATGTATGTATGTATGTATGTATGTATGTATGTATGTATGTATGTATGTATATCTTCCATTATCCTTATGACTTCAGATACTGCTCCAAGCGGTTCCAGCCCACAGCTTTCTCCCAGAGTGTCCTTGATTTCAAGAGAAAACACGCAGGAAGTGCCCAGCTCTGGCCATACCTCTGTTCCCATCTCTCGTTTCCCCATCGCTGTTTGCTCAAACATCACAGCAACTCCCTGCCCTGGGGGCGCCTATTTACTTTATATAGTCCATACATCTCTCCATTGATCCCACTCGGAGTCTATCTCCCTCCAGTCTACCTCACCCATCCAAAGGCCCTACATTTGCCTGTTATTTCAGCAGAGATCATCTAGATAAAATCAGTCCCAAAATATCGCTGAAAGTGATGACTTTAGCATGAACTGTGAAGGTAAAGGGAATCATTGATTTCCCTGGCTTTACAGTAAAAAATACATCATAAAATAACATTCTGCTTGGAAAGAGCATGGAATTGCCGGTGTTCAGTCGAGAATTTTGGAACCATTTTAGCGCTGATAACATTTTTCAGCAGACTAGAGAAATTCCAAGGATTCGTCATTCGTTCTATATTCTTATCTTCGACATGACTCCCTTTTTCCTTTACACAAAAATCCATCTTTCCCCTTCTTTGCAATAACGTTTAGAGCCATCAGTCGCTATGTATTCAAATTGGATTGAAGTACATTATTCAATGATGGATATGGGCCCAATAGTTGAATTTCCTGAATCCCAGGAGAATGCTGCGTGTTCTCCTGGAATCAGAAAAGCCTTTCGAATGCTATGAGGACACTTGTACGCCCCCCCCCCCCCCCCCCCCCAAAAAAAAATTTTTTAAAATTGCCTCGACTTTGCAGAATCAGCAGAAGGAAGAATTTTTTTTGATTTTTTTTTTTGAAAGCAAAACGCATTTTTTAATTAAAATCCTATCGTTTGGTTTTTATCAAGTGAGTAAGTCAAATTTAATCATGAGAAAAAAAATTCGAAAGAACTTACTTTCGGTAGCTGACACCACTTTGTGATACTTTTTTATCTTCTAAATTAATAATTATATAATAATAATAATCTAATAATAATAACAACAACAATAGTAACAACAACAACAACAAAAATAATAATAACAATAACTATAACAATAACAATAATTACAACAACAACAACAACAACAACAACAACAACATAATAATAATAATAATAATAATAATAATAATAATAATAATAATAACATATAATAATAATGTATTATAATAATAATAGTAATAATAATAATCATCATAATAATAATAGAATAATAATAATAATATTAATAATAATAATATTAATAATAATAATAACATATAATAATAATGTATTATAATAATAATAGTAATAATAATCATAATCATAATAATAATAGAATAATAATAATAATAATAATAGAATAATAATAATAATAATAATAATAATAATAATAATAATAATAATAATAATAATAATAATAATAACAATAATGATAGGCTACCAAGGTACCTAATACCTCCCAGTTACGTTAATCGTAATAGTCATACATTTCAACAAAGGAGTGTTACATAAGGTGCGACTAAACAGGTTGCATAATAAGTACCGGTAAGTAGAACGTCGCTAAAACGACGGGACTCCCGAGTCCTACTGAAGCCGCTGGATCAAAGTTTGTTCCCGCCATTTATGTTTCCACAAGTGCATACCAGCCAGTCTGATTCTATGCCCCATTTTCAACTATCATTATTATTATTGTTGTTGTTGTTGTTGTTATATATTTATTATTATTATTATTATTTTGTTTTTAATTTTTTAATTATTTTTGTTTTAAATCCAAAGTCTGCCTACTTCTCTATTGTAATTACTTATTACGTTCTTTAGTGGAAGAGACGACTGCTAGACATAGATCTAACTTTAATTTCTTCGAATCGGCGGTGATAGCGTCCGAGTCCGAAGATGGCACACGTAACGCTCCAGATAGGCCCAGAAAGATAGCTGGCTATTGGTGACTCGTCAGGGGGCGTATGCGGCTGTGTTTGCCTGGCCAACCCAGGGAAATCAATAGGAAAACGAACATCTGTGTCTGGGCGGCAATAATAGAGCAGTAAATCTATAAAAGCCTTTTTATCGTGTGATCTTTTTGTTTATTAACTGCGCAGTGGGAGACATGTGTGTCATTTGGCTTGCCGTTCCTGTCAATGATGTTTTGAGTAAATCGCTTTTTTTATTCATAGGGTGACAAAAACTAGATCTAAAGCAGCGAATTGACCCTTGCCATCGATAAGACTAGGTTAATGGAAAGATGTAGACCTCGTATTTGTCAATGATTCAACTCAACTGCGTTTACAAATTCTCCTTAAGTGATGCACTAGAAATCCATTTGAGATCCACTCTGAAGACAATTATTACAAGGGGGACGGGTGGGAAGAGAGGGGGGGGGGAGTCTGTCTGGAGACAAACGAGTTCATAATGAACACCACATTGCCTAAATCAACCTACATAGTGCTTTTCATTTCAGGGAAAAGGATTGAACAGTTTGTGGTCTTGGTTTTGTGAAAAAGAGTGAAACAAGTATCTGGAGCTCTACCCCCCCCCCCCCCCCCCCCCC